CCAATAGAAAAAAAAAAAAAGAAAAAAAGAAAGAAAGAAAGTTATCTGTGTAATTGAACCTACATTCTAGTTAATATTAAAAACTGGCAACTGAAGCTGTCAACTACCAATTCATGAAAAGATATACTATAATGGATGGTATATACTTTAAAAAATAGTGTGAAAGTCTAAAGAATGCTAAGATTAATAACAGTGAAGAAAGACATTATGACAGATAATATCAGATGAATAACTATCCAACTTTAGGATACTTTCCCCTTATGACAAACAAAAGTCAAAAAATTCTCATTGGTCAAATGAAGTGTTCACAATTTTTGAGTTTGTTTTTATTTTTATTGAATTTCAAATTCGTTTAAAGGAATTTAACCTTAGCTTCTTTTTTTATCATTGTGAATCCCACTATCTATTTGTCTCTTTGTACCCCAAGGGCTGCATTTATACAATAACATCAGGATTTTTCTCATTTTTCCTAAGCTTGAAAGATCTGGCCCTGTGAACAGGAAGGAAGTGAACAACAGCAATGTCTTGATTTATGTGGATCAGGTGAGGCCCCATCAGCCTTGCTCCACTCCCAGGTAGATGGTCCTGTTTTTGTGGGTCTCTTCCTCTAGGAAGCCTGTGGTACGAAATGAGCAACCCTAAAGAAGCTTCTGAAAAAGTACCTCCTCTCTGTTCACGTTAGATGACATTTTAAATTCCCTTTCCTCATTGCAGGCATCCCTAGGACTTGCAGTGTCAGAGATGGCAGGATTGGCGGGAGGCCAGTGTGTTATTGGTTTATATATACTAAAATGGAAGCATGAGTATGTCTTGACTCCAAGTTAACATTTTTAAAAAATAAATAAGCCAGATTATCTAGAAACCATTTTCAAAATTGCTGATTAAAGATAAGAATTAGCCAGGTGTGGTGGCCCATGCCCACAATCCCAGCACTCCGGGTGCCTGAGGGGGAGGATCACAAATTACAGCCCAGCCTGGGCAATGTATGATTTAGCAACAGTCACAAAGTGAAGAACAAAAAGGGCTGGGGATGCAGCTCCCTGCAAAGCCTCTGAAACAACACGAACTAAAACAGGATAAGAAGGGTTCCCAGGGGTTGATCAGCAGTTGTATCAAACCCTGGTTCCGGATCATTGCTCTTTCCTTTCTCAGGTTACCAATCAGACACTGAGCTTTGCTTTCACTGTGGTGCAAGACGTTCCTGTAAGAAACCTGAAGCCTGCTCTTGTGAAGGTCTATGACTACTATGAGACAGGTGAGCAAGAAGGGACTAAGGACTCCAAATAAACTCAGTTCCTAATCAAGGAATTAAGAGTGCGGGGAACACTGTAGTCCTCTCTTTACCTTATTCCATCACAGATGCCTTATTTCTGCATCTGTAGCCTACAAAGCGACTGTGAACCCCATATAATAAGTCTATTACTCATGCAAAATAAGCAGGGTATCTGCTTATCGATATGAGGATACATACATCTCCCTAACAATGTAGCAGTCATGAGCAGCCAGTAAGAGCGTGAACATTTGTAGGAATTACAGAAGGAATGAGAGTTGGGAAAGGACGATAGCTCTTATGGTCCCTGAAGACCAAACAAAGAAAGCAAAATTTCAGTTGGAGGATAAATGTAGGTATTATTCTAATTAGTGGAGAGGAGAATACCAACTTTTTCAGAACTATCAGAAATGTCACGAAGACAAAAGCGGCAAATATAGAAAGAGGGGGAATGGATACTTGTAGGGACCTCCTCAGGCTTAGCTTGACCACAGCGGAGTGAGCAGGCTTTAATTTTCCCCTAGAGTGAGAAACCATTATATCAGTGGTTTCAGGAACAGCACTTCCTTGACATTTCTTGCCAGTCTCTTTCCCAAAGAGATGACTTCAGCAATCATGCAGGCAATGATCCAGCGAGGACACCGTTCGAATATGTCAAAGGCTCTTCATAAAGCCTATCGAAGCTCCTGTTTTCAAAGTTTCCATTGTGTCTTTCAGGTGAAGCAGCTTTTGCTGAATACAGCGCCCCCTGCAGCACAGGTAAACAACTTGCAGCCCTTGTCCTCCACCTGCACTTTGCTCTCCAAACCCGTCTTCCCAAATGCAAAGTTGTCTGCAGCTTTTATGGTTGCTGTTGGCTTCCTCACACTGCACGATAACACAGAAACGCACACGTGGGGAGCAGAGCGCTAACTCTCTGGAAGACCTGTCTAGTTCTCTTATCAGAAAAGTCTGTTATATTTTAGGGTAAATATCTGATGGCGCCCACTCTTCACCAGAGTCAACTTGGTTTCCTTTAGCAAAACCTGCTGTCCATACTAGAATTATATTCACTATGTAGCAAACCTGAAATCATCCTGTTTTTGTCCTCTTCTCTCCATAGATGCAGAGCAACAAAATTTTTGAGGCTCCTCTCCCTAAACAGTGGTTTGCTGGAATCCCCACCCCCGAGATTTTTCATGAGCATTGTTCTGTTTCTGCAATATAGGCACTGCACATGCTTGGTAAATAAACACATATTTCTGGAGAGTCCCTGTCATGGATTCCTTCTTCATTCAATGCAGATTTACTCCAGGCAAGAATGAGGTCCCAGGACTTTGCGCTGCACCTTGTACTTGCATTGAACAACAACAAAAAATGACATTCTAATGGAGGAGACAGGATATTGTAGAATTGGGAGCGATTCAAAACGGCTTCAAGGATACAGAACCACAGGCTGTGCAGAGTATTGTAATGGTGATCTGAGAAAGCTTTACCTGCACAGAAAACTTTGTTGATGGATGGATGACCGAGAGCAAGAATGTCATGCATATTTGGGTGTGGTTACCTCAGAGAAGATAGGAGTGGTCTTGGATGCCACGCATTGACGTAGACTTGCCAGACTAGACAGGAATTTCAACTCCCCACAACAGTGCAAACATGGTGTAGTACACACATGTACTAGCACAATTAAAAAAAATGTTAAAAATAAAAAAGTAAAAAACGGGGCTGGGGATTTAGCTCAGTGGTTCCGCTACCTGCCTCGAAAGCGCAAGGTCCCGAGTTTGATCTCTGGTACCAAAAAAAAAAACACAACAAAAAAGTAAAAAACAAATTAATCATAGCACATATGTCATAACATGATTATATGGAATTACATAATATCAACAAAATGGCTAGAACAGTGCATAGCATACGGTAGACACCCAGTTTGCTCTTTAAAACAATTAAGTTGACCCTTCTACTTCATTCGTGCTACTACATCTTCTTGTATCTTCAGAAACCTTGTCTCCGTTTGTGTTTATCACTTCCCCACTAACTTCAGATTCTCTCTGACACATGGAATTGACATTCAGAGGTTATTTGAAGGCAGACAAATGGTAAATTGTAAATTTAGGACTGGAAGTCAAGCCAACTAATTTCCAACTCACTGAAAATGCCACATCTTTCTTCCTCCCACCTTAACTTATTTTGTTAACAAAAAACTAAAAATTGAAATTCCACTTGACCCAGCTATTTCCTTTCTAGGTATCTTTTCCCAAAAGTTAAAGACATCATATCACAGTGATACATGCATACCCATGTTTATAGCAGCCCTTCATAATATCTAAATCCTGGAAGCAGCCTGTAATGTCCTTCAAGAGATGAATGCATAAAGAAAACGTGGTATTTACATACAATGGATACTACTTTGTTGGAAAGAAGAATAAACTAAAGTCATTTGTAGCAAAATGGATGCACCTTGAGACCAAAATATGAAGTGAAATAAATCAGACACACAATCTTAAATATCACATGGTTTAGCTGGGGGTTGGGTGGTACATGCCTGTAATTCCAGCACTTGGGAGGCTGAGGCAGAAAGATCACTGCAAGTTTGAGACCAGCCTGGCTATATAGTGAGTTCAAGGCCAGTCTGAATTGAATAACAAGATCTTGTGTGTTTTTTAAAATATATATTTGCATAATTTCTCTTACGTGAGAAACCAAAAGTTTTAATTCATTTTTAAAAATTAAAATAAGAAAGAGGTATAGAGAAGTATAGAAAAGGGATAGAAGAAACCAAGGTCAAGTTATAAAAGTGGAAAGGTGAGCTTGGGAATTCTAGCGCAAATTTCCACCTGTCACTGCCACCCTGTACTGCTGAGCTGTGGGGAGAAACCTGCTTCAGCTTTTGGGATGTCAGCTTTTTGGGGCAGAAAGAGAGATGTGTTTGAAGGATGACAAATGAATATAGAAATAGAGAAAAGAAAATTGGGGGATAGAAAATATATAGAATCAACCAGGATGCTCATTAACAGAGGGATGGATAAAGAAAATATGGCACATGGAAATATATAAATATACATAAATAAATGAACTATTACTCAGATATAAAGAATGGATTCATTCATTTGTGGCAAAATGAATGGAACTGAAGGACATGATGCTGAGTGAAATAGTCCATGCCTAGAAAGACAATACTGCACTTTCTCACTCATATGTGGAAACCATTAAAAAAAATGGACATGAAAGTAGAGTAGTGATTACTTGTGAGTGAGAAGTGTGTATGTGTGCGTGTGTGTGTAGCTGGTGGTAGAAAACTAGTGGTTGAGCTATGATTAGTGCAAACCATATGTGTCTATGGAAACGTCATGCTGACCCCTCAACAAGTGCAGTTAATATGTTAATAAAAAGTAAATGGAGCTGATTTTTGTGTCCTTCAGCTTTACAAAACTTATCCATTCCATGAATTTTGTGTGTGTATATTTGTGGAGTCTTTAGAGGTTTCTATATATAAGATTATGCTATGTGCAAATAAACAATTTTACTTTTTTCTGATTTGGTGACATGTACTTCCTTTTATTGACTAATTGCTTTGGACTGCGTTAAAAAGAAGTGGCAAGAGTAGGCATCTTTGCCTTTTTCCTGATTTTAGAGGAAAACCTTTCAGCTTTTCACCATTCAGTGTAATAATGTTAGCTTTGGAATTTTCATATAAGGCTCAAACTATGTTGAGATAATCTTCCCGTATTTTAATTTCTTGAGTGCTTTTTATAATGAAGGAATTTTGAATTTAAGTGTCTTTTCTACATTCAAAGATCTTATCCTGTGATTTTTTTTCCTTATTCTGTTTTTGTACTTTTGTCACATTTATATATTTGTGTATGTGAAACTTGCCTTGTAACACAGGAATAAACCCCAGCAGGTCATTGCTGTTCGATTCTATTTCCTAGTGTTTTATGTACACCATTTGAATCTACATAAATGGTCAATATTCACTTGTAATTTTATTTTCTTGTTTTTATCTGGTTTTGGAATCAAGATAATGTTAGCATGATTAAATAAATTTTAAGTGCTTCTTCTTTTTGGGGGAAGTTTTTGAGAAGAATTGGCTTTAATTCTTTATCTGTTTGGTTGAATTGACTCGTGAAGCCACCTGATTCTGGGCCATTCTCTGTTAGTGATTTTTTGATTATTCATTTGAATTCCATACTCCTTATAGGGATGTTCAGACTTCAAATTTCTTTTAAAAAATTTTTATTAGTACATGTTTGGAGTACATATGTTTACATTTCTCTTAGGGAGCTGGTACATGTACATAACACATCTTAATTATTTTATTCATCTGTTTCCCTTCTCCCTCCCCCTTCCCTCCATGTCTTGGTCCTCATTTGCACAAGATCTATCTCCCTACTCCAATTATTTAACCCTGCTTTTTACATTTTGGGATTCTCATATGTGATAAACCCTGTGATATTTAAGCTAGTGTGTCTGACTTATTTCACTCAACATTGTAGTCCCAAGGGGCATCCACTTTCCCACAAATGACTCAAGTTTATTCATGTTTATGGCAGAGTAGTACTCCATTGTGTATAGATACATTTTTATCCATTCATCTGTTGATGGACATATAGGATGCCTCTGAGATTTTGCTATTGTCAATTGTGCTTCTATAATCATGGGTATGCACATATTACCATAAGATGATGTCTTTAATACTTTCAGAAAGATACCTAGTGGGAGAAGAGCTGGGTCAAATGGAATTTCTATTCTTCGTTTTTTGAGGAATCTCCATACTGATTTCCATAGTGATTGTACTAGTTTACATTCCCACAAACAATGTACAAGCGTTCCTGTATCCCTCCAGCTTTGTTAGAATTTTTTATTATTTGATTTTTCTATTGGGTGTTTTATTTTTGGAGAACTAAATTTTTGAGATCTTTGTATGTTCTGGGTATTACCAGTAGTCCTCTATCCTAGGAATAGGTGGAAATAGTCCTCTATCTTGGGAATAGGTGGAAAAAATTTCCCCCTATTTTGTAGGTTGTCTCTTCACTCTACTGATTTTTTTCTTTGAAGTGCAGAAAAGTTTCATATTTCAAATGATACCATTAGTCAATTGTTCATGAGCTTCTTGTGCAATTGACACTCTGTTCAAAAAGTTCTTGCCTATATCTGTGTCTTCTAATTTTACCTATTTTGTCTTCCAGCAGATTGTTTCTGATTTAACATTTAGATTTTTGATCCATTTTTATTTTATTTTAGTACGTAGAGATATGGGTCCAGATTCATTCCTCCTCATGTGGATAGCCAGTTTTCCCAGTGTCGTTTGTTAAAGAGGCTATCTTTCCTCTAGTGTATGATTTGACCCTTTTCCAAGATCAGAGAGCTAAATAGGCCTAGGGTGATTTCTGAATTCTGTATTCTGTTCCACTGTCCCACCTGTTTTTGTGTGACTACCACATGGTTTTTATCACAGTAGCTTTGTAATATAACTTGAAGTCTCAGGTTGTGATGCCTCCAGCTTTGCTCTTGTCCAGGATTGCCTTTTTAAATTCTGGGTCTCTTCTTGTTCCATATGAACTGTAGGATTATCTTCTAGAGTCTTTTGAGGAATGCTACTGGTATTTGGAAAGGACTGAATTAAACCTGTCAATTAGTTCTGGAGGTATGACCTTGGCAACATTCATTCTGCCTATACAGGAATAGGTACAGCTTTCCATTTTCTCTTGTTGTTTTTTTTTGTCCTTTTCAGAGTACAGTAGTTTTCTTTATAGAGATCTTTCACATTTTTGATTAGGTTAATTCCTAAGTATTTAATTTTTTTGGATGCTATTGTGAATGGTATTATTTTTCTAGTTTCTCAGGGAGGTTTTTTTTTTTTTGGTACCGGGGATTGAACTCTGGACCTGGAGCTTGTGAGGCTGGTGCCGGAACCACTGAGCTAAATCCCTGGCCTTCTCAGGGAGTTTATTATTGGTGTAAGGAACACAACTGATTTGTGTGTGATTTTGTGTCTTGCTACACTAGTGAATTTGGCTGTTAGTTCCAGGAGTCCTTTGGCAAACATTTTTTGGGTCTTCTATGTAGAAGGTCATGTGATTGGGAAATAATGATCATTTGACTTCTTCCTTTCCTATAAATATCTCTTTTATTCCTTTCGCTTGCCTGATTGTTCTGGCCAGTGTTCCGAGGACTATATTGAACAGGAGTGGTGAAAGTGGATACCATTGGCATGTTCCTATTTTGAGGGGAAGCTTTCAGTCCTACTTTCTTCAGGCTTTTGCCCACCTGGGAGCAGAGCGGTGGCTGGAGTTGGGGAGTTTCTTAGAGTAATTAGCATTTCCCTGTGGGCAGGGCAGCATCCGAAAGAACAGCATCCCCTCCCAGCCCTGTCAACAAGAGACACTTGAGTGAGTGTGGCACTGGTGTGTCCACTTGCCCTGGAGACATCCCAGATCCCAGAGGACAGCACATTCTGCTTCTCCCCGTGTTGCAATACCTGTCTGCTACTGTGCAATGCACCAGCTGGCCTGAGTCATTCTCACTGTGCTGAGTGAACTGGAACTAAAAGTTTTGTTTCTCCTCTTTTCCTGGAAACTTTTCTTTAGTGAATGACATATCCTTTCATCCAGTTGCTCAAGCCAAAATCTTGTAGATTCATGCTAAATCTCTCCCTTTCTACCAATTCCTTTCTAAACTTTACCAACAACTCAAAAACTATCCTTAATTCATTCTTGTGTATTTCAGCCAATGTCATTGTAATCTGAGCCACTACCTCCCTTCTGTGTTCCTGCAACAGCCTCCAGGATCCCCATTTCCACCATTGCTCTTACTCCTGTTTGTGTTAGTTACTTTCTCTCATTGCTGAGACAAAATACCAGACACCCAAAGTAACAGGGGAAGGGGTTTATTTGGCTTACAGTTTGTACAGTCCATATCAGTCCATAATCAGCCAACTCCAAGGCAGGGACAACAAATGGGCATGGCAGAGCAGAAACAACATGGCGCGCACAAGGCAGCAAAGGTAGCAAGAGGGTTAACACGTCTCCCTGCCCCTTTTATCTTATTCAGACTACTTAGGGCAGGTGGCACTCACACCCTTAATCCTAGTGCCCTTGAGCCTAGCACTGCATCATGAATCAATTCCAGCTTCACACACTCTAGATCCAGCCTATGACCACATGAGGCTCTGGGGGGACATTTAGACCCAAACTATAACACTCTCCTTATAAGAGGCAAAATAAATCCTTTGTTTAATTTTTTGGTATCTGGGATTGAACTCAGGACCTTGCACTTGCCAGGCAGGCAAAATAAATCCTTTAAAATGAAAGTCTAATTATGTCATGCTCTGGGAAATCC